TATTGAACATAGTATCTCTAATTATCATTGTATCTAATAAGCTTACTGTAAATAATATTATCCAATTCAAAAGCCAAACAGTTTTAAGAATGGAAATCAATATTTTAATATCATACAATACATTTAGAAACATTTTTCTTTAACTCTATAACTGTAAATTATTTTTCAATTAATATTTTTATCTTACTATTTATCTTTATACAATAAATGCTAAGTCAAATAGTCAATTTGTCATCTAAACAATTCAGTCTGTCTTCTGTTTTTGTTTTAGATGAATTATGTGCGAGCCGGGACATGAAGGAGCTTGAATACGTTGATCGATCGATTGATTGATTTAATCAAAATAATATATAATCACAAGAAGCGTTTACAAATTGATTATCCCTATGACACCATTATAAAACTTTAATGTTATAATAAAGAAATAAATTATAAATACCTTACGGCGGTCCATATTGCTGGGGTATTTATTTATGTTTTAATTATTGTCATTATGAGTTTTTTATATTTTTTATTTGGTTTTATTATTTTTAATATGTAATTGGATTATCTGGCTTGATGTTTACATTTAATGCATAGGTGTGTGTACGTGTATAGGCCTATCTATACCGACGATCATGTTTCAAATTAATGCAGTTTCCTGTACGGTAGGTGTCGTCATTTTAAATTTTTTGGCCGGGTAGGTTGGGGAGGGCTGGCCCACCCTAGATCTTCCCCAGGGTCGTAGCCAGGATTTTGAAAGCGGGAGCCGTTATACCAAGCGAAGGTGGGGTGTTCCCCTTCCTACGGCTGGGAGGGGGATAATCCCCTGGGAGGTAGCGCATTCTGAACGTTTAAGGACTGTTTTGAGAGGATAAAGTGAAATTTGGAGGGGGGGATTTTGAATCTACTGCTTCCTGCTCAAAACATTATTTATCAAAAATAGTCAAAATCACGAAAAATGGGCATGAAAAACCAGATTACATTCTGAAAACAAAATTTATGCACCTTCCCATCAGCAGTTACTAAGACATACTCTGAGTAACTTGCCGACTTGATGAAGTTTAATGTCATACACAGGGAAGGGCGCAGATCTGCTTTGAAAGGTGTGGGGTGACATTTCATGAGTCCACACCCTCCTCAGACCCACCATGGTTGGGGCTGAGTTGCGAAAATTTGAGAAAATAGTACCTCTAGATGGCCAGAAATGACACTTTTAGCAAAATTCATCATCATCATATTATCACCATTATAATAGTCAAAATAAAGCGCCAACAGATCTTATTAATATGTGTGATGTACCATAGGAAATAAAGCTTAAAAACATTGTCTTTGATGCATGTACTTTACAACCACCTTAGCCCAACATGGTTGGGGCTGAGGTGAGAACATTTTAGGAAATAATACCTCTAGATGGCCGGAAATGACACTTTTAAATAGTAAAATCTATTATCATTGTCACATCACCATATTATAGTTATAATGAAGTGCCAACCAATTTCTCATGATCTTTTATCAGGGGTTTTCGGCAACCATAGAGATCTTTAATATCCAGGACAACTTGGGCCCAAATAATATACTAAGCTTCAACTACTATAATAATTATGGTGGACAAATCACAACTTTCCTTTTCGCCTTCAGCACAATTTTTAATATTATTAATATTATTATCTATTATCATAATCGTCATTGTCTTCATCATCGTCATTATTATTATTATTATTATTATTATTATTATTATTATTAATATTATTATTTTTATTACTACTACTACTACTACTACTACTACTTTAGTAGCAATAAACAAAACTTTATAAATGCATGCAAGGATAACAAATTTAAATATGTAATTAAGCAATAATTTTAAAATTAAATCACATTAAATTAATTAAATTATATTTTTACCTTAACGAAATTGTAATTCTCTTTGTAATATTCTTATTCACTTTTTATATTATACATATATAAATTGTGAATTTTTCAGATTTTAATGTTTGTCTTTTTAATGTTTTGGAGAGCCTTTAGATAGTGATTAAGTTCGCTTTTATGTAATCCTCAGGCTATTTGTGTTTTGTCATTTGTTTCTCTTTTCTATTGTACTGTATAATCTTGCCTGGAAATAAATAAAATAAAAAATAAAATAAAATAAAAATAACAACCAAACTGAACCATACAATATCACATTTCTGTATTTTAAAAGACATGGCCTGGGATTTATAGATTTAAGAGGAGTTTTAGAGAAGTATTCATTTTGAGTGATCCCAAGAAAGAATTTGTAGGCCTATTGGCTAACAAGAACAAGCTTTAAAATTCTAACTCTCTCTACAAAGGGGTGGGGGGGGCTGTCTCTTATACACATCTAGATTGGAGCCGCGGCTACCTGTCTACGCCTGAGTTTATTTAAATACGAAATCCACTCTATTAGCGTACTACTCTACTGGTCGTCATCCGTAGAATGAAAGATGTTTAACTGTATAGTTCTTGGAGCATTCTTACCAAAACTAATCTTTTTTTTTTTTTAGAAGAAACCATACTTCCTTTTCACATTTTTAATTAATATCAGATTAGCTGTAAATACAGTCACAATAGCTTTATTTTAAATCAGCATTTGAACACTAAAGTAAACCTAATTATTTAAATTACACGCTACAGACCTACAAGTAAAGTGTCAATAGCATTAACCATTAAATAATCGTATTATATATTTGTTTCATTTTTTATCTGTTCATGCTATGCTGTGACTATAACATCGGAGATGTAGTTGATGGCTCAGAAACAGGAATAACATGCAACATCGTGCGAAGTAGTTCTAGTATTGTACTTATTCCTTTCGTAACATGGAATACCAGTAATGTCACAAATGGAGTAACTGAAATAATAGCACAATATCAGGGTGGTGAAAGAGACACAACACTAGTGATTGCTGACACTCTACGAAGCGACAGCGGCACGTTTCAATGTATTGTGGTTATATTTGATGATCCACCTATACGTGCATCTGATGACGTTATATTGAGTGTTATTACTAGTTAATTTATCAAACAACCATACTAATCATCCATTTATAACAGTGGCGTAGAAAAATATTTTTCATTGGGGGGGGGATGATTGGCGTGTTAGCTAGTGTCGTAACAGGCGCGGGGGGGTGGGGCAGGGGGAAAACTGCCAAGTCGTCGGGCTGGGTAATAAGAGAAAAGAAAGAGGGAGAGGGAGGGAAAGAGAAAGAAGAGGAAAAGAAAAGGAAAGAAAAAGATTTTAAGTTGTTTAAACACATATTAGTCCCAAACTCAAGAAAGACAAATTTAAGATAGATCATTTTAACCTAAAAGAAGTGCCTCAATGTGTATAGATGGTGAAAGAATGTGTTTGTAATAAATACAACCATGATGAAAATGCTTATATTTAGTTTCAAACACACGTGTGTGGCCTATATTATAAATAAGATAAGCCCTATGTCGTATTGTTTTCAATATGGGGAGTGGGGTGGGGTGGGGTGGGTATGGTATCGTGGAAGCGGTTGGCGCATCGGTTGTGGCTTGGACACTCTCGTTGTGCAAATCGCTTGTGTCCTTGGGCAAGGCACTTTATCTACAACGGTTGCCTCTCACCACCCAGGAGTACAAGTGGGTACCTGGTAGGTTCGAACACAACTGCGCTGATTACTAGCTGCAATATTATGGAATTCTCCCCAGGGAGCTGAGTATGTGTTCCATATGTGTTCGATCCAATGACCGGGGTAATAATGTGAAGCGCTTAGAGGCATTGTGCAGAAGCGCTATATAAGAGCGACATATTATTATTATTATGGTAAATTACTAACCGGGAAATGAGGATTGTATGTTGTTGTTATTATTATTATTATTATTATTATTATTATTATTATTATTATTATTATTATTATTATTATTTATTATTATTATTGTTATTATTATTATTATTATTATTATTATTATTATTATTATTATTATTATTATTATTATTACTATTATTATTATTATTACTATTATTATTATTATGTTGTGATGATGTTGTTTGTACTGTTCTTTAATTTTATTAAAGAGGGCCCTTGAATGTCAGTTAACCTACTGGGCTAAACTAGAAGGGTTACCCTCTTTAAAGATGGTTGAAATAAAAAATAAAAAAAAATATACCCACTCTGACCCAAGACCCCTGTTACGCGCCTGGTGTTAGCGCCAATGTGTGCCATTGTGCGGACAGGAGATGTGCCCCCTCTGAAGCTGGAAACCTTGTTTTTGCAAAATAAATTGATGCAATTTGCTGTTATAGGCCTAATCAATAAATTCCTCATCAACCGATATAACCTTAAACATTCTTGGAATTGATATAACATTACTGGTCGTCACACCCTTCAGTGTGAAATGTGGCTCTCTTTGCGAGCACATCTAACATCTAAGGAAAGAAGAGCTTAGATTGGTACCAGATAAAATAATTTTGTTATCAACATTAATACATTATGCTAATTTTCATCTTTGTAAGCGCATAAGACAGTGCAAATTATTTCTTTGACAGTCTTTTGAAGTGTAAGTGTGTAAAGCTCCATTTTATCCCATACATAGTCAAAATATTGGGGGGGGATGATTCAATGGACCATCCCCCCTTGTCAAATATTGGGGGAGATATATCCCCTCCACCCCCCCCCCCCCCGGGATCTACGCCTATGATTTTTAATAATGTATAAATATAAAAGATAATAATATAGTGCTAAAATATTATAAGAACATGAATTTATAAATCGTTAATCGTATCATAGTTTATCAACAAAAGTTAAATATAAGTTGTATGAAAGAGGTCTCTGGTGGGAATCTCGACAAGCATCATAACGTAGAGACCACATAGGCCCGTACGATATTATTACGGATCTAAGACCACTATAATCTCTCTCGCTTCAGACAGCTTGATGACTCACACATAGTGGAGCAAACTTTGTATAATATGTTGAACTGAAAAGAAATTAATTCAATTTCAAAAAGCGAATTTTCTGTTATGATCTCTTCTTTAAGATGCTCCTGAAATCCCACTATCAAATATGGAAGTTTTACCTGGAGACACTGTTACGATTAGATTTGATGTTGTTGCCAGCCCAACTGCTACCTATGTATGGAAAACAACGCCAGCAACAACAGACGACCCAGAAACATACACATTTACTGTGTCTGACAAAATTGGTGAGACTTATACTTCAACACTTAACGTAAGTAATGAAGTCGGAGCAAGTCAGTCGTCGGTAAAGGTAACAGTTGTTGGTAAGTTTAACTCGTGTGATCACATGATAACAATTTTTAGGAGAAGCACCTTCACTATAAAGACGACTATAACAACAAATTTCTCTCTTATTTAGCATTAGTACCAACATCGACATCTGTAGCATGTACTTGTGCCACAGGTACGTACTTCCTTTATATGTTTTTATTTTGGGCTTTCATTAAGTATATCATTCAATTCCAATAAATGCCAAACTGGTCTTGTTTTTTGTTTTCATTATCAATACTGTTATTTACCAAAGCATTACCGAAATGTTCAAGCCTAGATACGAGTCTTGTTGTTGGAATAATGGTTCTAGTTTTTTTCATTGGAATCCTTTTGTCTTAATCTGCATTTGTCGTTCACGGAAATATAATAAATTCAAAAGCACAGGTGAGCTACATGAATATAGTATATAATGTGTTTAAACTTTATTCATTAATTGAAGAAAGTAAAATTGATTACATGGAGCAACGTACAGTATTTAATATTCAAAATATAGAAACAGTTTATACATTACAATCAACAATTTAACGAATAATACAATAGCCGAAATTGGTAAGATATGTAACTGTACTTGTTTAAACAATAACGTGAACAATGGTCCCGACATTCATGTTAATTTGGGTGCTGTAATGTGTGATATGACGTCACATTACACTTGAAGCTGAGAGTCACTGAAGCACCTGTAGTGACAATACAATTATAATTATCCTATGTAATTATTTTAAAACTTTTTTTTTTAAATATTAAACTATGTTTATTTTAATTATTTGTCCACGGTTTTTACTAAATAATGTAGGCCTATGTATTTTTTTTTAGATTATTATTTTTATATTTTATGAGTGCCAGCTGACACTAAAATAGGCTAATTAGGCTGCTTCTGACCATGTAATTTATATATTTGAATGTTGTGTATGTTATGGTCAAATAAATAAATCAAATCAAAACTTAGTCTAAGAAGTTTCTCTATGAATCACCTCGCAGTTATAATACATAAAAACCTAAATTAGTAAGAAAGAAAGTGAAGATCCAATCAAATTGAAACATGGTGATAGGCCTATATTTTAATATATTTATTTTATTTTATATCGGCATGACTAAAGCTTACGTCACTCCCAGTATCACAAAATTGTAACATATTAGCCCGAATAAAATATTTTAAAAGACTTAAAACAGTAGGCCTATTGCTGATTCTGGAATAAAACTGGAATTTTAATGAATACTGCCACCAAGTGTGTTATCCTTATCGCTGAAATATTATGAATCATTTCTCACGACATACATGCTAATAAGCAACCAACAGCAAGAAGTTCGCATATCCAAATCTAAACAACTGTAAGTATGTGTTATGTTCTTAGTTATTTTTAAAATGGTATACAAATTAACTATGTACAATAAAGTAGGCCTACATTATGTGCACGTACCAACATGATTATTGTCAATAAAATAATTACAGAGTGCTGTTTAATTTGAAAATAGGAAACACTATTATACACGTACTGAACTAACTTAATTATTTGTATATTTATGCAATAGTAAGTGCTGTTATATTTGAAACTATGAAACACTATTATATACTTGCTGAACTCTAACTGATTGATCTTTATATGAATGCAATAGTAAGTGCTGTTATATTTAAAACCTGAAAACAAATGCCTGTCTTACACCGGTATCCAGTGTTGTCATTGTATCTATAATAACCTTACTGGATAATATAATATATTATCTAATGAAAATGCTCGGGAGTTTTAAGAATGGCAATGATGTCAACCAATAGCCTACAATACTGTATCTGACTTTGAGCAGGGTGGCGTCAGTAGGAGAAAATTCCTTCGTCGGAAAAAGCTTAACCCCACCACCCCCTTCCCTTCTTAACGTCAGGGAAAATAAACACAATTCTTCGATGGGAAAACATTGTTAGACTCTAAAATCGATTAACTAAGTCCTTGAAATGCCTATAAATTATTTTTCAATGAATGTTTTAACATTGCCATTTTAACTTAAATTATCTGGCTTGATATTTACATTTAATATATTAGGTGTGCACAATATGATCATGTTTCAACGAAATACAGTTTCTTGTACAGTGCTTATGGTCTTTGTTAATAGTAAGTTTTTTCATGACTGTTTCAAGCTATTAGTAAGTCTGTACTCATACTTGCTTACTGCTCTATTAATGATAATAATAATAATTATGGATTTATATATATTATACGTCATCTAGAGACTGGAAAATTATGACTTGGTTGAAGTGATGGTGGACAGCCCAACGGTTTCTATTATGATTATTGAATTCTGAATATAATGTTTTAAATCAGACTTCCATTCTCACTTTAACTAACACGCTATGGCATGCATAAACAATGGAAATTCATCATTTCCTACGCAAAGTCATCTTTTTCATTCTTCTGATGGCGACCCGAGTTACCAAGGTTTCTCCATGACTTGAATTATGGCTAATTGATTAAATTACATTCACAAACCTTAAACAAATAAATTGTCAATATTGGGAGTCTTACTGTTAACTAGTCTATAGTTTATTATTAACTTAATGATAATAAAGTTGTAAATTAATAAATTAATACAATTAGATAAATGTGTGTTTATTTTTTTTACAGTTTTTATCTGTATATGCTTTGCTGTGATTGTAACTGTTGATAACTCTAGTGATATAGTTGAAGGCCATGAAACCAGAATAACGTGTAGCATCGTGCGAAGTAGTCCAAGTAGCGTAGCTGTACCTGTAGTAATATGGAATAATATCACTAATGGTGTAATTGATCTAATAGCAGATTATAAGGTTGGAGGCGGATTAGTACAGCCTTCATACAGCGACAGATTCAGTGTTAAAGGAGAAACAACACTAGTGATTGCTAACACTCTACGAAGCGACAGTGGCACGTATCAATGCATTGTGAATATAAGTGACGATCCCCCTATAATAGCATTTGCTGACGTCACACTTACTGTTATATGTAAGTAAACCATTGTCAATATTTTGTGTAATCTATATATATATATTTATTTATATATATAAATTAAAATGAAAAGGAATATTTTGAATCATAAAAGCAATTCTGTAAAATATTTTCTGTTTTGATCTCATTTTTAAGATGCTCCTCAAATCTCTTCATCAATTATGGAAGTCCAACCCGGAGACACTGTTACGATTAGATTTGATGTTGTTGCCAACCCAACTGCAAGCTATGTATGGAAAACAACGCCAGAAACAACAGACACTGATACCGACGTAGAAACATACACATTTACTGTGTCTGACAACATTGGTGAGACTTATACTGTAACATTGAACGTAAGCAACGAGGTTGGAGAAAGTCAATCAACTGTAAAGGTAAAAGTTGTTGGTAAGTCATAGCATTGTGATCACATGTTAGTATTTTTTAGGAATAACACCTCCGCTGGATATTAAAATGATGGTAATATCTTTCAACAAAATTTCCCCCTCACGATTTGAAACCAAGACCTTCTGATGGTTTTGGGAGAACAACAAGTGAACTCAAATGTGGTTTAGTCGTGTGGTAGGCCTTCGATATGACAATCCGAGGAAATTCAATATCAGTAAAATTAAGTAAAAATGCTTGCCCTTTTTATTAATAATTTGTATGCCTCATCAAATTTCTGTTTTTGCAATTCGGCAATAGAAAGTTATTGATAATTGAATATGTTAATCTTGCTATTTTTTGTTTCTTATATGTTAACTTGCTTCTCTTTTATTAGCATTAACACCAACATCAACATCCGTAGCATTTACTTGCCCAACAGGTACGTATTTTCGTTTATATATTATTCGTTTGGTATTTTTTAAAGTATCATTTTATTCAAATAACTGTTTTCCCCCTAATTCTCATTGTTATTATTTACCGAAGTATCACAAAAATGTTCAAGTCCAGATACTAGTCTTACTGTTGGAATGACGCTTTTAAGTTTCTTTGTCGGAATCATTTTGTCTTCATCTTCATTTCTCATTCACGGAAAAATAAGAAATGCAAAGGCAAAGGTGAGCTATATGAATGTCTAATCAATTGAGTCATCTAAGACTTCTTCTTTTTTTTGTCATTTTTGGGATCGTTGGCTGGGAAGTCTTGGGTAGTCAGCGATTGCAGTGGTGGTGCCAGGATTTTACCGACGGGAGGTGGGGGGTGGGTCTGAGGTCCCCATTGGGGGAGGGGCGATGTCCTGATGATAAAAGTGGGCGTGGTCGGGCGTTGCTCAAATATTCCTTCGGAAGCGTTCGAGAGGCGAAGCCCCCAAAAAATATCACAATTTAGGGGCTCAAAAGGCTTATTAATCGATTTTGGAGTCTATTAATATGTAGGAAATACATATACATTTCTTTTTCTCCCGACGAATTGTGCCTTCCCCCCGGCCCTCCCCTGGCGCCACCTCTGAACGATTGTCAACGTTGACCTGTACCTATTAGGTTTCCTGTTCTCGATGGGCTTAAGGTCTCTCTCCTTCCCTTGTTGGGAACAACCTATGGACATACTACTCATACCACATTTGGGTGCATAAGGTAGAATCCTATGATCATTATTTTAGATTGATGAACTTCGACTATTAACATGGAAGTTTGTGTTTTAGAAATTGGATGTTGAGCCTAGTCAACTACATTTATACAAACGTCTTTATTTTTCCACTCAGTATAAATAATTGACAAACTAATATTCAACAAGGCCTTTGATAGAAGATGAAAAATATTTTGTTTACATAATAATTTGAATGAAAGTTCTTTGGTTTTTTTTTTTTTTTTTTTTTTTTTTTTTTTTAATTAACATATTGTTTTGGCTTTTATAATTCATCTTTAAAGGAAACCACCGAAGCAACCTCCAAAAATGAGAAACAAAATGCGGTAAGACATGCTGCATTTATAATATTTGAGCAGAAAAACTGGTCACTATTTTGATGCATAATTAAATATTTAAAAAATCTCTAAAAGCATAGGTAGTAGGCACTACTAATAGTTTTTAGCATTTAAATACAAATGCATTGCTCGAATATTTAATAATTGAGAATCAATTACACCATTATTTCGTCATTGATGGCAGAAATCGCAAATATTATTGTTGCGCTGTTGTCCTCAGTAGGCCGCAGAATGTTGAAATTTTACCATTGGTGGGGTAAATAAAATACACTAGGCCTAAAACATGACCAAAAATTTGCAATACAGTAACATCAACACAACTTAACTATTTTTCGCTTATATATTTATTTATGTCATTTTTATCAATTTGGCTATAACATAAATCGCACTGTAGACTATTTGTATTTCCAAACTTTTCTAAAAACAAACCTACCGTATCTAAAGTGAATGAAAAATATTCATCTGTAGATGTTCAACACGTGCGTTCTATGATAATTCACATACATTATGTGATTCCACGATTTTTTAGGCTCTATTTTTACTAGTGATATATTTTGAACTCGATCTGGCACGCCTTATTGAAATTACCCAGGTCTAAGAAACAAGCCTTTATAATACTCGCTTTTCTTTATGTTGCAGGTATATATGTCGTACAGAGGGGATCCGTGTGAAGAGAACAAGACGTATGAAGATCTACAGTGGATTGGTGACAACTCATTTATGTAGGCATAAATGTCAAAACAAACAAAGAGAATACGAATTCATTATTTTGATTTTCAGAACTGGACGGATCGAGCAGACTACTATATGATATTCGACTTGTTAGACAATATAAACATGAGAAGAAAACTATAACAATTATCATTGATAAAATACGGGACACTATGATGGGAACCATACCGTTTCGTGGGAATAGGGAAGATAATTTTCCAACAAAGGAAGCAATGCACATTAGGTCAAGTACACAACGATTTAAAGCATTACAGGCCTACTCATGTGCAGGGATCAACAGAAACTAGTAATATATAAACACATGAGTGTTGTGATGTACAACCGACATTTAGTTTAAACGTTTGCATTGGCTGTGAATTTGTGTTGACGATCGGCTGATAACGGCAGACGAATCCATCCAGTGTGAAACGATCCGTCGCGTGTTGCGTTGTTCAACAATCGTCCCTTCAGCACTGGCTTAAATGAACGGCCAAAATTTAACCATTATTTCACTTTGAAGTTAGGCAGAAGCTCTGTCTGCGACGGCCGGCTAATAACGGCAGGCGTATCCATCCCCGCTCTATGTGAGCTCGAAACGATACGTATTTTGGGGTCCTCTCGGTATCGCGTCGGCCAACAATCGAATTGTGAGTGCCTGGCTTAAAGGAACTGTCAAAATTTAATGAATGTGTGATTTTCAATGTTCATATCACGTGTTTCACTATTGCATTTTAGTAAATTTTATTCATTAATTAAAAAAAGTAAATTGATTGCATGGATCATCATAAAAACAGCAGTTGTTGAAATACAGCATTTAAAATTGATTATTCTGAGAATTATAGACTCACTTAACAATCAACAATTTAACCAGGTGAGAATAATACATTAACCGATAATGATAAGATATATAAGTTGTAACGTGTTAGATCACGCAATTTACACTTAATTAGATTGGCACGATAGTCAGTAACAGCTCCTGTAGTAACAATACAATAATAATTATAAAGTTATGCCAATATTTTAAAACTAATTTATCGTAATAATAAGCTACAGGGTTTTTTTTTTAAATGTATGTATTTTTATAGTAATTTTTATATTTTATATAAGGAGCAGCTGCTTCTCATATGAGTTGCAATAACATATTTGCTCAAACTGTTCCTGACGATTTTATATTATTTGTATATTGTATTTATATTTTGAACTCAAATAAATATTTATATTTTGAACTAAAAAATAAATAAAATCATATCAGAACTTAATCTGAGATGTTTCTCTGTTATTGACCTAATTCATAACTGATAACACTTCTCAATAATTACATAAAAACATCTAATAAATCTAATGAATAGCAATTACCTACATGGCACATTCTAAGAGATTGCTAATATAAACTTTTCTTAGCTTTACATAAATCTCGACACACTGATTCACACTAAGAAAAGATATTTTGTGTCTCCAAACTCTTTATGTTCAATAAGTTAAGGTCACTTAAATGTAATTATGTAGTATCATTAATAAGAATAAAGCTGAAGATGAAACAAATTAAAACATGAAGATATAATAGGCCTATTTATTTCATTCTTTTCACCATGACTGAAGCTTATGTCACTGCCAGTACAAACTGACAGCATGAACATAATAATAAAAGAATAAGATTATAAGTTCTGCTCAAGAATATTGCTGGCACGAAAGATGCATGCTGCCACCATGAGTTCCATCGTAACGAGCAAAGCGTTATAATAATATAAATCAATGCATACATCATACCTGTTAAGCAACCAACGGGAAGTTCTCACAACTAAGCAACTTACTGTAATTTTATGTTATTTTAATATTATTTTATTATTATTATTTTATTATTATTATTATTTTATTATTATTATTATTATTATTATTATTATTATTATTATTATTATTATTGCAGTTAATAATCTATTTTTATACAAGTACTATCAAGTAGTATTCAGCCCCAGGCTTTAACACCTTTTGATTGAAAACCCAGAGCTTTGCCGGAACGCCATATTATTATTATTATTATTATTATTATTATTATTATTATTATTATTATTATTATTATTATTTGTAAGCTCTGCAAGTACAAGAGTACAAAAAGTATGTATATAGTCTAATAATATTTTTTTTTACTACACATCTTTTGTATTGTTTTTTGTGTTTGTAAATCTGTGTTTTGAATCCAATTTTTGATTAAACAAACTGTTATTTTTTTGCTAATTATGTATTATATATATTATATACATTTTTGTGTTTTGTTTTCAGTTCCCTCCAAGACAAGTTTTTTTTTAAACGATCAAAGATAATAATGATTTGATCTATTTGTTTTGTTCAATTTTATTTTAATTTCAATTAATTCATTCATTGTTATCTGAATAAATATATCTGAATCCGAAACAAGCTCTCATGTAGTTGCTAAATACAACGGGTTCAGCCGAGGGGCGTGGCTTCGTATGTTGACGTCATGCATAATAGTTGTCAGCTATAGTTGTCTTTCAGTTTATAGTTCGTCCTCACCTAGAGTAGGCCCTGTCTTTTATCACACCATGATCACATAAAACACAGCAACTCTATGGTACAACCAATGTAAGAAAAAATAAGTTGTCCCTGTGTAATTTACAGAATGAAATAATACATAGGCCTCTTAGTCTTATTTTAGCGGTAGGAATTAAGCAGTAATCACAGAAAAAAATTAAAACAATTCAATGGCCTATACTACTAGTACTACAATTCTGTACTTAGTATGTGGATTTTCCAACATAATCCCATGAACAAATTATCTTACTGAAAGAGAAAATGGGCCTAATAAATTAAAATTACAACTTCTATTACAACATAACTGCGGAAGTTAAGATTTATTACTTTTTAATGTTTCACAAAATTGCGGGCTATATTACACAAAAAGAAAAGGGGAACAGAATGTTAAATATTTAATTAAATTAAATATATTAACCTTCCAATGTCTGTATTGCAATTTGTATTGTATAAAGTAATGTATTAAATAACAATTAGGCCTATTCTTTAGTAGCCTATAGGGCCACATTCTGCATAGGCCTAAAGGCTTAGAC